AAGTTTATAGAACTTTGCCTGAATTTGACCTCAGAACAGAAATCTCTGCTCTCTGGGGGTTCCTGCCCACTCCTTGAATTCTCCCAACACCTGAAAGCTGGAACCAGCCATGAAAAATTCACGCAGCAGTGTGTTTCAAACATAGCCATGAAGGATCCTCAACATCTGCTGACTTGAGCAAACCTTGATGGTTAATATGAAAAATTATGTTTGCGAAATGCTTTCTTCCGGAGAGGAAAATGTCTGCTCAGATGCTTCTGAGAACTAATCTTAACAAACCTGACAGAAGGATGTCAAAAGTGGTATTGCATCAACTGCATCGACAGGTGAAGCAGCACTATTTTCTCTACTTCTTCTCCAACAATGTAAGGAGTATTTCACTTTTAGTGCCACTGGAAGTGACCCAAACATCTTGAGCAATCATGGGAACTTTTCTTTATAACAGTCTGAAATTGAATTCTTTCCTTCTGTAAAATTTTGTTTTGAGACATGAAATTGAAAAACAAAATAGGCCTCAACCAGAGACAAACACATTCTGTTTAGCCTCATGTCAGCGCCTACCATTGCAGAATGAAGTGTCTTTTCATAGCAACAGGGGGAGCTGGGTGGAATATGGCACCCTACTATTTCAAATTAATTGCAATGCAACCAAGCCAGAAAATTAATGTTTAGTCCCCAACTCCCTCTTTTTTTTTTTTTTTTTTTTTTCCAAAAAAAAAAAAAAAAAAAAGCATTGTCAATGCTCAAGGGAAAAATTTATCTTTGTTAAATGATAATTGGCTTTATTGTCTTTGACTCCTCAGAAATGCTGGCTGGCAAGGTTTTTAAAATATTCATCAATCTTGTTTTCTGTTTTTACAAAGCCTGCATTGAAAAAAAAAAAAAAAAAAAAAAAAGATGTCAGTGCAGAACATTCTGCATCTCCCAGTATTATGAATAGGTCTAGAGACCACCTAATTTACTAATAAATCTATTGAAGCGACATGCATCTCAATATTTCACAGCTTAATAAGAAGGTCCAGAAGCAAGGCCCCAGATTGCAGTTCCAGATGATTAGCGCTGCAAAACCATTTGAAGCAGGAGTATCGAAGCTGTCAGAGCAGCTTACACACAGCCACCCTTTGCAAACTCACCATTTAAATCATCTGCTCGGGGACACTTGCTCAAATTCTTCAGAAAATACTTGGAAAAAGCTCTAAAATAGCAGTGCACACTGTTAAAAGTTTCTACGACTGGGGCAGCGGTGCTCACATCTATAGCACTGCATTGTAGCTAATAATAGGAAAATCTCAGCAGGGCTTTTCAAACTTCTTCTAAAGTGACACCAGAGTCTTGCTGCGTCATCTTGCAATAAAATAACAAGGACACTTGCTGCGTGCGTTGCAGCGAATAGCTCAGCCAGCTCCTTGCAGAAATAAAAAGCTCCCTATTAATTCTTTTTAAACACTTCTTGAGTTATTGACTTACATACCAGAAATCCTTGCAGTTCCAAAACCAAAAAAAAAAAAAAAAAGAAAAAAGAGCATCTTCATAGAGAAGTGGCATAGACTAAAGAAAAGTGGGTTTTTTTTTTGAGGGAAAAATAGCAGGGGGAGAGTTAGGTTTGGGGCTGTTGTCATTGTTTCTTAAATTCTACACTACAACAACAACAAAAAGAAACCTTGGTGAAAAGTTTCTGAGAAGTTTATTTGATGGCCACGACTATGGCCCTCGAGGAAGTAAGAGTTTCATGATGGCCTTACTTCAATGAATATTTCCACCTGTAAGTGCCCTGCCAACGCTGGTAGGACCGGACGTGTTGTACACCTCTGACAAGCCAAAGTCTTGAGAAAGAGATCCGACCATCTGTGCTGCAATGTCTAACTACAGAAGAATGGGCAAGAAAGAAAAGTGCTTAAAGAATCAAGGACCATTTCAAGACATCAGCTAACTTACTGATGAATAGATGGAAGCAGGGAAGAACATTAAGGATTTCCCAGTCGTTTCTATTGTAAAGCAACCTGTGCTAATAAGAAAAAAAGGCTGCAATGGATCAGTGATAGGTCAACTATCACGTCTTGTTAAACTGGGAGGTTCTAGAAATAAAATTGAAATCCTCCACAGAAGAAAATATACAGAATTTTCCACAGGGAGCAAATAATGCATTGGACTTGAGAAAAAAAAAGGGTTTTGCTACTATATAATAGTATTACTGTTACTATTATTGCTACCAAAGTCTTAGCTGTCAGACTTGCCTGGCATTGTTTCCTTATTTACAAAGGTGATGAGGACATGTGGTTAAGAAAAGTCAAGATTTTCATTGGCATACAGTTCAACTGATTTTAAGAAATTTCAAATTCCGGACTAATTTCTGACATTCCATTCTACAAGATATACCCCCAGTGTGCTGGCTTCTGGATATCATTTTGATTTCACTGGATAGTTTGGTATATTTTCCAGACATTGTTCAAACTCCATTTACCTTCAGCCATATTTCAAGGCTTTGAATCTGATCTGCAGTATAAAGCCTTGTAACTCATGCTCTGCTTACTTGAGGACTATCCCTTCATCCTAGAGCCAGCCTCATGTTTGGGAACAGAGCTGGACAACTTTGCTGTCAGACTGATTCTGTTGATGTGCTTTTCATGTAGGCTGGAGTCTAATTCCTTCCTTGAAGGACATTGGCATAACAAGCTGTGCATCTCTAACAGTGTTCTCTGTGGATGACTACCCAGGGAATTATCTATAGTTTTTTCCTTCTGCCCTCAATAAAAGTGGCAATGTGCGCCGAGTCATGTCGCAAGGTTGCACTCAATTAATATATGAATGTACTCACACAGAAATTGGATATTCCACTTTACACTTGATATAATGAAACTGTTCTGTTGTTGTTTGTTTTTTTTTCACCCTTATTATTATTGATTATCTTAGACCTGTCCTAACAGAAAATGAAGTGCCATCAGTTTTAAAATCTGATAAACTTCAGACAGTTCAATGTAATGTCTTCCAGGCTCAGGCGTCTCTTTAAGAATCTGCTTCCAACTACTTGCTGAAATTATTTACTACTTTTCTAAAATATACCATCTTTCTGCAAGTGTTGCCCATATGCTCACCCAGGACCATAGTTTTGCCCAACTGTTTTGTTAATAGACAGAAATAGTTCATTCACTTCTATCTTTCTTTTCTTCCTTCCAAAGTTCATGATGACCATGTCAATCTAATTTTCTTTACAAACACCACAATGTAAGAAAGGCCAAAGCCTTTCTTTAACTCACACAGCATTAAACATACAGCTTCAATGTATTAAATTCACTTCTCAGGTTTTAAATTGTCCTCTTTGGCTAAGATTCATTCTAACAAGTAAATCCATATTTGACATTCCATCTTGCCCCTTTCCTATTGTTCACATCCCAGATAGATTTAGCATTCATAGTATCCAGTCTGCAAGCATTTTGAAGTGTTTTCTTTTCCACATGCTGGTACTACCTTCTGCTTTGCATAGAACTTGTTACGCAAGCGTGATCACAGACTAATCCTAGCATTAATTAAGATATGAAATTAAAGTGGAAGTACATTATTGGTCACATAATAAAAACAATACAAATTTGCTTTAAAAATGAAATTACTGAAGTGTTTGCAAACCTCTTTATACTGTCAGAAATAATAATGTTTACCATCTACATGCCGTGGCACAGATAGAATTCACACAAGTGGATTTGCAGTATTATTTCCAGTTTGGGAGAATGTGCAAAACCCATGAGAAGTTCATTTACTGTATAAACATATCTGGAAGAAAACATGGGATTGTTTCTCCTGCTCTCTGTTACACCATGTAAATTCTGCCCTCAGTGACTCTGTGCACAATGCGGTGCTGGACCCACCAGCAGGGCTCCACTGCTTGCTTAAGAACAACTTTCCTTGAAATCTGATGAGGAATTTTATTAGAAAATAATATTTTTTTAGAAATTGTTTCATAGGAACGTAACATTTTTATGAGCTTCTGACAAACATAAGAATACTATGAACACCAACGTGAGAGGCTTCCTTCCCAAAAACCCAGGCTCCCAAGTTTTGTTCCTCTAAAGAAGATAGCCACTTGGGCTGTCTCAAACCTCATAATTTCCAAGATCAAAAGGCATCTTATCATGCTAATTGGTCTGGAGCTGAGAATCCTACATCCTCTACAAGAATAAATGAAAAAAGCAGCCTGTCTATAACACTGCCAGCCTCATAGATGATTTAACCAATCACCTCTTCCTTATCTCTACAATTAAATAGAGGAACATGCTCCCTACCTCACTGCCACCTTAAAAACACCTCTACTTAATACCCTCAAAAGGAAACAAATATTCCTACATTGTAAAAATATTGTTTTTACACAAACATTTACCAGATGCTTAACAATATTTTACATCTGCACAGTTCTGTTGAATGTGCATGTTCATATACGGTGTGCAGAAACCTTTCTGACCCCATTGCCCTAATGCATTTCCCTCCCCTTTGCTGTAAAGCCCACTTCTGGAATGCCTCTGTAATGGTAGGTGTTATTACAATTTGTGCAATGTAAAATAATAAGTTATAACAATGAAATGCATGTTCCCTGGGACTCCACGATAACTCCAGGTAAAAATAATGTCAGAGTCTGGGAACAGACTCATTAATAAAACTGCACTCAGAAGAGTGACTTGTTTACTTATGCACAATGGAAACCAATACGTTATCAAAGCCTGCATTAAAAAGAAATTACGATCCCAACTTCACAATAAACAGCAAGGAACACCATCACATACCTGCCTGGCACAATATAACCCCCCAGACAAAAGGCTCCAAGGCTGATTTTGCTCAGGCTCACGCTCCCTGAGGTCTCTCTGATCACCCAAGCTGTTCCAAACCAAGCAGGAGAAGAAGATCTCCTTCAAGGACTGAATCCTTTCTTAGAAAGGCTCTATTAGGGCAGAGCTTTGTGAACTCCTCCTGTAACCTCAGCACCACGGCACGTCTCCGTGTATTTGTGTACTTACTCGCTATGCTGAGATGAATAAGTGGGCTTGTCTTGTTCTCGCCATTCTTTTCATTGACAGCCTGGACATAGTAGCCTCCTGCATCCACCACTGACGTTGCAAGGATCACCAGCTGATTCTCCAGTGTTATGGCTCTGTTTGGGAAAGTAAGAGACCGTGCTGAAACCAGAAGAATGGCATTCACTGTGCAGAAACTGTACAGTATTTCAGACTTGACAGAATCACATGACACTTGTTGGCAAGATGTTAGGAGATCCAAAATAACCTCATTTCAAACACATTCACAACGCTTTAGATGTGCAATGCTTGGAGGCTTTTTCTCAGTTTAGATCACGTAAAATGTTTATGGTGACATGCAAAAAGCTACAACATCTAAAATGCAAACAGTTTAAATGCCTTTAAGAAGTTGCACATAAAATGGCAAACAAAAGCAGAGGCAGACAGCCTCACCCCGCATGGATGTGGGCTGACTGTCCCAGCACACACCAGCATGATGCTGGCGCTATTGGGAACCTCCTCAACAGGTGAAGCTATTTAAAGGCTGACACTCAGGAATGAGGTGGCAGCCAACACTGAGCTTCCCTGCCTGTCTTCCTTCTGCTTCAGCAAGGTATTTTTAACGTTAATAAGTCAAAATTATTTGGCTTTGAAAAAGTGATTTAAAGCATAGTATACTGATGTTCACATACAGGAGCTGGCATAGGATATAACAATGAGAAAAGTGTCCATACACTGTGTTTGTTGCTCCTATCTCTTCAATTTCCTAATGTGGATACAAAGAACAGTGAACTTCTATAAGGCTATTGGTAGACACCGACTGAAAAAGATCTGAAGATGTGAGGCTGTATTTTCAGCTCTGGTGGTGGTATTGAAGTCAGTCACTGCACACCAGCTGAAGATCTTGTTTGTAGCATCTTTACTGATGATGATTTTTATTATACTAAACTGTAAGAAATATCTCAGTACAATTTATTCAATGAACCTGTAATTGCTTAATTGACTTAGAAAATCAAAGGCAGTGTGATAGATTTATGGAGTGGGGATATAAAATGCAATTAATATGACATTTGATAAAGCAAATAAAGATAAAAATCCAATGAAGTGCTAATAATTGAATATTAAAAGACAATGCAATTACATTAATTCTGAAGGATGCAGCGCTAGAAGAGTTCTTTGAAAATACTGAAACACATTTCAGACTGCTTTGGGAGAAGGTGCAGCTGAAGCCTGATGTTTTAAAGCTGATCTCCAAGTGCAGGTGAGAAGCACACTGATACCACCCCTATCTGTGGGCAAAATAACATTTGTTGTGGGTGAAATGCATACACATTTCAAAGTTTACGTGAGCCTAAGTAGATTTGAAATGAAAAACATCCATGCAGAAGGACCGAGCATAACTTCTCTATTCATTTGCATAGAGAGAAATAATTAGAGGATAAAATAGTAGTAGAAGGCAATTCTTTGGGGTCTTCAGATTCCACAGAAAGATTCAAAGGTGTTAGATTCAAAACCCCAACATGAGTTGTCGATAATTAAAAATTCTGAGAAAAGCCAAAGGTTTTGGTTTCAACTCCTAAAGACAGGCAAGGGTAAGGCACAGCTGTGCAGAGGCCAAAGACTTGGAGTTCTATTTAGATTGAGAGCTGTGCTCATCAGGAAAATCAATTAGTCACGTTTTAAGGACTCATTAATGCCAATGTTTCCAAACCATCTGAAGATTCATGTCACAGCCCTTATCAGGGTTGCAACCATATTTTGCACAACAGCTGCACAGAGCGCCCTAAAATTGGCTTCACGCATTCCCCTGGGTTCACTGTTTGTTTTCATTGTCTGTTATAACTTCTACGTTATGACAGCACCACACTGATGTTCGAAGGGAAATCACATCCCGGCTGCTCAGCTCACTGGCACGTTTGAGGAAGACAACAGAGCAGATGGAGTGGACCTCTCAGAAATTCATACCCAGTACAGATTTGATGAAATACACAAATACTGTTGGTCGTTTTTTTTTTTAAAGTGATATCAAACTTAATCTAGTGTTTTCAAGACAGAACTACTAGCAAGTAAAGGAAACAGACTGATCCCTTGGGGTTCTTTACACATAAGGAAGGGAGTGTTTTAAATCATATGTTTTGATAGAAGATGCTTTAACAGCCTCCAGAGCTCAGTGGAAGCCTGTGGGGAACAGGAGCCAATACATACACAGTGATGTGCAGTGTGTTGAGCAGCTATGGGGGTGCCATGCTAGTATTTCCATGCCAGTATGCCACAACAGCACCCACAGACTACAACGGATGGATCTCAAAGTGAATGCTTCAAACCCTGCCCATGATGGACTGCTTGCCCAAATGTCATGACACCATAGGTGGGAGAGCATAGGAATGATGGAGATCAGTAATGTTATCCATTCAGTTCTAAGGATCTGAAGACGTAAATAGAAACATCCTGAGTTTTTCAAGACTTCCGTTTGCTGCAGCCAGAATTAAGCATTTAGAAATGCTCCAGGTTTTTTAATTGCAGACTTCTGAATTGCCCAGTACTTGGAAAAACTGTGGTGCAAATATCTCTGAAGTTTGATGGAAAGCTTTTGGAAATTACGTGAATATCAGGCTGAGCCTTTAGAAATAATGATCATTTTCTGAAGTGCCGTTGTTAAAGTGTTTAAGACAATATGTTTGCAGTTAAATTTTTCTTGCTCTGAAAATTGGATCATTTATGAAAATACCAAAAATGAACTCTGTAGTATCTTAAATAGGTGGATTTCATATTACAAACCATTATTAATGGAAAATATGAAAATCTACTCTCCAAGTAGATAATGCAGAGAAGCTGGAAATGCGTTCAGTATTAGCCTACCAGATTACATAATAAATAGATAGCACTGCATTACAAAAACATCCCCAAATGAAAATTGCACAGTGACCTGGTGAAGTTTTCTCTTAGAAGGCAGCCATCTGCTCCTGAGCAAGGGTGCAGCATTTTAGCAAATACGGCCTGCACGAGGCCTCTTTTCCTCTAGCTAAAACAAATATCAAATCCCTCGTTACCAGATACTGTTTACAGAAAGACCTCTGCTGCCCTTATAAAACTTTTGCTCCCATAGCACAGCATGAGCCAATCTTTCTCTGGGAGGCAGAGCCCACCCAGCAGCAGTGATGTTAAGAAGCAAGGGAGAGATGATGGAGCACTGACACTGCAATTACTGAGACGTCCCCAATGGAAATGCCCTTTTGAAATAGGGCAGAATGTTGCAGCTAAATCACAGCTGTGCAGTGAGACCCCGAGTCAGGGCAGTGCATGCGTGGCTTAGCAGTGAGCATTTCCCCACTCGTGTGTCTTCCAATTCTGAGGGGAAATTATTAATCGCAGTTATTTAAATATATGCAAACAGTGCATGTTTATCAGGTCTCAATCACAGCACAAAATATTAGCATGTCTGCTACAGAACATGTCCATAGCAACAAAGCAGTAAGAGCTGACTGAATGCCAAGCTCATAGAACAGTACTCAGGTTTCAGTTATATTATGACTGCAAATCATTAAAAATAAAAAATATATGCCTACTCAGCTGCTGAATATTAAGTACAGCCACAAAAATTAATGCATTCATTTTACCATCAATGTTAGTTTTTAGCATCACTTCTCTAACTAGACCATGCACAGCAAGCGGTTCTGGAAAGGGACTGGGATTTACTGGTTCCAAAAGCAAATTTGGATTAAACAAGAGCAACAAAGCAGGCATGGTGACCCAGCACAGCCTAAGTACCACCATGCAATAACAGCAGCCCAGCTACTGACAGCAATGCACAAGGGTGACAGCTTGATTTTGGTACATCTATTTCCAGGACAAAACAAGAGAGAAAGCAGGATTTCATGTTCTGAGCCTGCCTTCCCTGTTCTGTAGCACTGGTATTGGAGGTAACAAGACCTTGTTTTAGGAAGGCTGCTGAGATTGTGCCCCACATTGTCTCATGGGCACATTGTGCAAAGCCCATCCTGTGTACAGTGGGTGGAATGCTGGGTGAAGCCCTGCCAGACTGGGCACTGCCATCACAGGGAAACCTACAGGGCCTGTATTTGGCGTGGCTTTGTTTCACATTTGCATCAGTACCTGTTGACTATACACAGATTTCACTTAACCACAGTCCCAAATGCTCTGGGACACATGGTTAGAATTCCAAAAAATGGACATGCATTGAAATCATGTCACAATATTGAAGTTTGCAATGCAGTGCACAAGTTCAAAATATCGTATGTGAAAAGGACTAATTGAGTGCTGAGCTACGAGGCAGGATGATGGCTTTGATAGAAGCTTTAGGAATGCAAACAAAATAAAAAAATACCACATGAAAACAGATTGACCCCCTTGAAAAAGGAAACAATGAAAAACCAAAAGCTGACATCAAGCCCTGAACAGCAATCCTGAGAACACAGTATACAGGAGAGGACTCAAGAAGCATAAATCTAGTCAACAGAAGCACTGTCATGTGTCTTAGTGTGTCTTGGTGCTTACATACAAGGCTGCTGCGAAGAAGTACCTCTGATTTAAGCAGAACTATCAAAATCTGAGTCTCGTAAAAATCTTAGCAGTTTGCCCTCGGAAAATCTTATTTCTATTCTTTTGAGATGGAGGTTGCCAGAAGGGACTCTCAGATCAGTCGTCCCAAACTTATATTTAAAATCATGCCCATATCAAACAGTTACTGGTCTAGAGATAAAACAAAACAAAGCCCCAGATAATCACTACAAAACTGATCATGAAAGAGATGTTTGCAGAAAGACAACGCTACCAGCCCAGGAGCAAGCAATTACAACACCCAAACAAGGAGCAATATTCGTAAGTGCACTGCTTATCTTTAAACGTTCTTTTTCTCCCCGCAGATTTTCAACAGCTTTAATTCTTATTTAATACAACTTACTTATTATCATACTCTTTCGACAGTTTTTAAAAATTACTATTATTAAATGTTAAGTGGCAAGGCTTAGTGCAGCTGATAGATGTACCTACGTGTGCTTCAATCACAGCTCTTGGGTGTTGTTATCTTACTGAACCATGCTGATGAATGTTTGCCCCAGCTGCAACAGCAGTTCTCTAGCTAAAGCAAAACCCAACTTTCAAGATAAAATATGCATCT